GTCTTATATTTGTGGACTTGTCTTAAGTGTTGTCGCGCACAGGGTTTGGATGTGAATGTCTTATCGCAACCCTCGACCGGACACTCGACCACTCGTAGGCCCTGATGTGAGTTCATGTGGTCCTGGAGTCGATCATTAGAGGGGAACCGTCGGTCACATGCGGGCCAACTGCACACAAATGGCAGAGAGTGTTGGCGTTTGTGTTGATATAAATACTTTTTAGTGACAAACCCTTTACCACAACCCTCTCTATCGCAGACATACTGTTTGACTCCCAGATGTGTCTCTTTGTGGCGCTTAAGCATATTTAAGTCCTTATACGTGGCCTCACAGGCGGGCCAATCGCAAGTGTACGGTCGGGCGCCGGAGTGCGTTAGTCTGTGCGCATACAGAATCCCTTTCCTATTAAATCGTTGGTCACATTCATCGCACGCGTATTGTCGCCGCTGTTCATGTGATTGCATGTGAGTCTGAAGACAACTTTTGGTGCGAAAAGTGGAGTCACAGCCAACCCAAGAGCACCGGTACTTTCGGATGTCCTCCGTATGGATCTTCTTATGCACCCGAAGACACCTCTCCGTAGGGAATCTCTTGTGGCAGACGTCACACCCGAACGGCCGCTCCATTGTATGTCTGACCCGAATGTGTGCCAAAAGTGTTTCACTTTCACCAAACGTTTTCTCACATCCAATGTATTCACACATAAAATGTTTAGATCTTAAGGGCTTTCCATTCGTGTCATGCGTTCTGTCTTTATATATCCTCTTCAGTGGAGTTGTCGTCGAGTTTTCACCACTTTTTTCGCTTTTCTGAACGCATTTTCTCTTTTTCTGAACGCTTTTGTCATCCATTTCTTCATCACTTAAAGTCTGTTCCCATTTGTGGTCATAATTATCGTCCGATTCATCGCTTAATGTCTTCTTTCGTTTTCTTTGTCTTCTCTTTGTTGTTGTCTTCGCTTTATTGCCATTCAATGTCTTCTTTGGTTCACTTCTTGTGTCCAATGATTGGATGAGTTGTCGAACACTGTGTTTGTTGTCATCACTGGATGTGATGTCTTCGGGCACTGGATGTGCATCGAGTGATGTGTTGAATGACTTGATATCATGTGTGAAAGTGTGGTAAATGTGTGTCAATTGATTCCACGTGT